TAAAAGCCCTGCCAAAAGGCGTTCTTTGGAGGCAAGAGGCCTTCTAATCTGCATTCCTTCCCTTCTGCTTTTGCTACCCAAAGAGGGCTATTATAGGACGTATTTCAGATGGCCTTTTGGAGGAGCTACTTCTTTAATTCATAAAAACCATACTTCCATAAGGTACATATATATTTAAGGTTCCTATCAAGTGTTTTCTTGCAATCTAAAATGCATATTTGAATTCATTTGTAATTTTAAATAATCAGATAGGTTCCGCAATTCACTTCTGACTGAATATCAATCAACTACGCTTTGAATTCAAGTTGGCAGGGGTTGAAATTCACACGCAAGTGAATTACAGAACCTGCCTGATTATAAATTTACATTTTCGCGTAATTGTAAATAGAAAAATCACTTCTAGAATCCACGCAGGGAAGCACTTTTCAAGTCCTTCTTGGGTAGGCTATTTAGAATGGCCTCAGAAGGTCTACCTAAATTATTTTCTGGGCTTAGTAGAATATTCTTCGGAATGGTATTACGAACCTCTAACCATGCCAGGTCAACGTAATCGGAACGAACCCTTATTATGCATATCTGACCACTGTCACTTCATTAACATTCCCAAAAAATTTATGGGTAATTTGTATGCTATTACAACGACACACCTCCAGCCACTCGGCAACGTTGGTATCTCGATAGGTCTATGACCTCGGGAAGAGCATTCTATATCCTCGTCATCGATCCAGATTCCCCCTTATAATTGAGTGAGTATGATATTTTCAACTATTTGGTTTCTACTTATCGTGGCCTTATATTCTATACCCTCCCTCTGCAATTTTCTCAAAAATTAACTTTTTTGTATGGAGCGGCACAAATTGAAGGCCTTCTGTTTTCTCTAACCATAGATGGGTTTCCAGAATGTATTTTGAAGGATGTATTTCAGGAGGCCTTTTGAGGAGTCCTTATACGTTCCCACGACAGTCGGGTCTACGTAACCGGAACGACCCAGATTTATATCTGGCCAAGGACTGTCACTCCAGCAACACTCCCCAAAAAGTCTTTGGGGAATTTGTATGCTGCTACAACAACAACAAGAGTCCTTATAAAGATGCATATTTTTGAATTCATTTGTAATATTAAATAATATAAATTTACGCATTCGCGTAAACTGCAATTAGAGAGATCTTTTAGAAGCCGTTCAGGATAGTACTTTTTTCAGGCCTTCTTGGGTAGGCCTTTTAAATGGCTTCACTTAAGAAAGCTTTTATTTATTTTGCTCATCTCGCAGAACAACGAAAACGACTATCATTTTATGGAGCAACATATATAGATAATTAGATACCATTCGGGAACAATTTCGCATGCAGTAATTTCTACGTGGCAAGTTCTCCTCCATTATTTGGTTTCATAGGGATTCGGATACCTTCCTCAATGAAGTATGTAGTAAAGAAAATTCGCTTATGTGCGCACAAGTTTTTCGTGCAAATAAGGATGAGCAGCTAAGTAAAATATACTGCATCGTTTATGCGTCAGTTATATTGAAATCTACACATAACATGGCCTTGGGGTTACTAAACAAAAGCACCCACAATTTAGTTAAGCGCATACATATCGTCGTTTAAATTACAAAACCATGTATCAACAAAATGCAAAACCGCGTATGTGAGGTTGCATAAATTATTTTCTAGAGTAAAAACACTTACATATATTTCGAAATGGTTCTCTTTTTTAAAGCAGTCGCATTTCTGGCTAGTATATTTCAGAACGAATCGATAAGGATTGAGCCAAGAGCTTGTGTGAGCAAATCCAATTTTTTGGTTTTGTACTTTAACCGATGATAAGTACCTACCATATATAAGGCAAGAACAATTGAGGTATGGGTTCAAACTGGAATTTTTTGGCGAGTACATGTATAGCAGCAAACAACTGCTACACCCATGAACCAGTTAGTTGGGTCATGTGCTACACCTGCACATCTGAGTAGAAAAACTATTTTAAGGTAAGTTGGAAATGATGTAGTGCCTTTTTTCACGTAAGTTGGTCTTCTATTGTTCAAATATTACAAGCAATTGGAATTTTCGCGTGGAGAGAAAAAAGAATGATAACCTACATTCGCAAGTCTCGCATTTCAGCAAATCACCTACAAAGTGGTCCCAAAAACAAAGCTGTTTCTGGCAGATTGTTTGATTTTTACTTACGTTTTTAGCTGCTCCTTTGCGGTGGCACACAACTGAATTAGCTGAAATTGTCGCAGTCCGTAACACAGTTGATTTTATTATTTCCGATAAATTTAATATTTTACAGCTCGTCAACCACAATCCTTTTACTATGATGTGCATCAATTTTGTAACCAAATAAGCAAATCAACTGCCGGCGCTTTTGGGTTGAAAAGAAATGTCAAATAATTAGGAATGCAAACGATGCATCGATGTTTTTGAAACATCGATAATATCGGATAATCTTTCGATGTTTGCCATCGATGTTTACAATTTACTAACATCGCGAAAATGACAATACACCGAGGGAAGTTTTACCGATGTTCTAAACATCGAAGTAAGGAGACTCTCCGACTTTCTTTCGGTATGTTTGACTGACCTTAAATTTATTATTCATTCAGAATTTTTTTTTGTTATTTATGGTCTTATAACAATTATATTCAACAATTAAATTGAGCTTGAGGCGGTTTCTTATGAAAAATGTTATTGAAAATGAACAATAATTTACAAAAGGTAGAAGTTATAGCTGCTACTTCGAGGTCACCACATCTCCTCAGTTACCGCGCTTGAAGAAGTCTGATTAGGAAATGTAGTGATCTCCCAAATAGCAGCTCTAACTTCTTACCTTTGTAAATTATTGTTGTTTTTCCACAACATTTTTCATAAAAACGGCCCCAAGTTCAATAAAATTATTGGATTCATTCTGAATCTAATAACCTAGCCGTTAAAACAGAACCAAACACCCCTCAGAATTTCAAGATCAGGCCTAGGATCTTTAGGCCCGAACGACCTTACGATGGTATGCATTTTGATTCTAATAATGGAAAGGGTATAGAAAGGATAATCAAATACAGGAAAATACATTCATAATTATTAAAGTATTCAATATTGCTTTAAATTTAACTAGAAATTAACAAATTGCAAAACATCGGAAACCATCGATATATCGATGTTTCTCTGGCGATGTATTTCATAGGGAATTTACATGATTCTACTATCACAAGCGATTAGTTGAACCAAAAGTTGAACGAAAGTAGGCAACCGACCAACTTCATTGGAAGCGATTACTTGAAAGTCCGTTTACACCAGGCAATTGTTGCTTTCAACTAAAGCGAAGCGCACATAAGCGCGATTCCATCGTTGCGAATACGTTGCGAATTCGGCTGTTAACTTCGAATCCGCAAACGTGCGCACACTTGAGCGATTTTTTCGCGTCGATTTCCGATGTACAATTCACTCAATTTTCCCTTTATTTCGTGTATTTTCGCACTCGGCGTGCCCAAATCGTACAAAATACTATTATTACGAACGTTTTTATTAGTTTTTGTACATTACACGTTTTTTTTCTTTGCCTTTATTGCTGTGACACCTTTCTTCTTCTTCTTTGACGCCTTCAAAACGCTGCAAGCCGCGTTTCGAACGCGTCAATAGAGAGGAACATTGAATGTTCGAAAAATTCGCAGCGACGGAATCGTGCAAGTGTGCGCTAGCGCATTAAAATGTATGGGTAGCATTGTTGTAATTTTTGGGCTTGCGGATTCGCAACGACAGAATCGCGCCAATGTGCGCTTCGCTTTAAGATCGCCTGAAAAATCGCCTCATGTAAATTCCCTTTCAGCCTCGATGTTCTTTTCCCCGATGCATCGAAACATCGATGTATCGATGTTACTGCTCAAAACTTTCATCCCTACAAATAATAGGAGTTTTGCAATTTCGCTCCACCCGCGGCTGTTGTCAGAGTTTTGCTATCTTTCGACTCCCTCCCTTCGACTAGTCCTCCCAGATGTTCAAAGGCAAAATCATGGTGAGTGGGTTTAAAGTAAAAAAAAAGCGCCTGATATGCTCAGTACACTTGTATCTTGTTAGTAGTTATAAATAATATTTGTTTGACTAATGTGTTTTGCGATTATTTCAAAATTTCATAAAATGAAAGAAAATAACGTCTAAATTTATCGATGTGGCATGGCTATATCTTGCTAAACCGCAGTGAACACACCCAGTAGGGAGCTGTCAAAGGAAACGTCGAATTAAATTGACAGTTTCTACAGCGCTGGTGGCCCCGCTTCCCGCGTTCGCGTTTGCTCCAAAAACTTTGATTATCTTTCCTCCAAGTGTCACTGAAGCAATCGCTGCGGACAAAATCGAGGCGTGTAAATCGAAGAAATTAAATAAGCCGAAAAGAGGAGAAAAGTTTTGGCNTGGACAAAACCGAGGCGTGTAAATCCATGAACCAAAAATACAAGATCACCTAATCAAAGAAGCAAGAAAAAAGTATATTTCTGAGTGTTTTTGACATCTGCCTAAGAATGAAAACAAACAAAGAAAACGAAAAAGGCGCGGTGATTGAGTGCGATTAAATTGGTATTTATTATAAAATATACAAAGTGAAACTTGATGACAATTAGCAAAAAAAGTTCATAAAATATGGTTTTCATGATTGAAAGTGTTTTACAATCGCATATCATTACCACGGGTCGATTTTTCAATGCCACCGTTCTGGCCACAAACGTGCACCCACTTTTCACGCAAATTTACGCCTTTTGGCAAACCAAACATACGCACAAACTTGTTCCGACCACACAGCACTTTATTTTATATCATAAATATGTAATAAACCAAAATTTATAATTAAAATCGCTGCAGAAAACACATTCAATCGCTAAAAAATCACTACGAAGAGGTAGAAGACGATGTAAACAAACCCGAAAAACGTCAAAAACGCTACGAAAACTTTTTTCTGAAAATCGATTACAAATACAACGATGGCTGATTAGGTGATCTGTAGTCGTTGGTTCATGGTGTAAATCGAAGAAATTAAATAAGCCGAAAAGAGGAGAAAAGTTTTGGCGACGCAACGTTATTTCAATCAGTTTGTTGCGGGGTCGGTTCGCAAACGGTTGTGCAGGTCTAACGTATTTAACCAGTTCCACAATAGTTCTGAGTAAGATTGGCTGTGCGTGTGTGCGTCCAACAGACACCAAAAAATGTATCACTTAAAGAATTTGGCCCGTCAGGCAGCGGTGCGTCAGCAAGAAGTTGCTACTTTGGTTAAGGTTTTGCCAACCGCAGCCCTACAGTCTCGGGGATATGCTGAATATCAAATACCCGATCGTTTAAAAACTGTGCCCACTGCCAAGGATCCACGTTTCTTCGACATGGTAGAATACTTCTTCCATCGTGGGTGCCAAATTGCTGAAAACCGTCTTATTGATGACATGAAAGGCAAACTGTCGCTGGAAGAAAAGAAAAATAGGGTCAAGGGTATTCTTATGCTTATGCAACCATGTGACCACATCATCGAAATTGCGTTTCCACTGCGTCGAGATTCAGGAGAATACGAACTCATTACCGGTTACCGTGCTCAGCATAGTACCCACCGTGTGCCCACTAAAGGCGGTATGTACATACATAGACTATATCTACATATATATACCAAATTATTATATAGACAGGGAACTTGAGCGCTATTTTTTCGTAAAATAATTTACTATATACAAATTAACTACCTAAAATAGGTGCAGGAAATAATTATGGCTTTTAATTATTTTACAGTACGCTTATGTAATCAGGTGTACACTAGCTAATACAGATTTGTAAACGTGTAGGCTTTCTAATGTTTTGCCTGTACATATTTCTGTATATTGTATGTGGCGGTTTAACAAGTCGATACTTAAGTGGCATTGCATAAGAATACAGGTCATGCCTTCATGACACCCCCGGAAGGCTTTAAATTTGATTTGCAAGCCATTCAAGTGACGTGTTTGTTGCAATAACCTTCTTGTATTGTGTTTGTACAACGCGAACACGATGCATCTACCAAGTACGAGTACTTGACGTTGCTAAAGGAAAATATGTGTGCATTGTGTGGACATACATATGTATTTGTACATATGTGTATCTTCTTTAATTATTTATTCTTGAATTTATATTTTTATATTAGTTTTTTCAAACCGATCTTACAAATTACTTTAAATCTGAGTGGCATTTTTTAACTCAAAAAAAAAAAACTTTAAAGTAAATGAATGAAAACTTAAATTTGAAAATATTTCCAGAATACATAATAAGTATATTCTATGTAGACATGTTGAAACAGCAGCAGGCAGCATAAGTACTTATTTAAAGTCGTCGCACCATGAATATCTATAATATTTATGGAAGGTGGGGAGAGTGGTCCCACTGCTCAAACCGGGGAAACCCGCCAACAAAGGAGATTCGTATCGTCCGATTACACTCCTTTCCCCGGTAGCGAAGACACTTGAGGCCTTGCTACTCCCGTACTTCACAAACCACCTGACCCCAGCGAAGCATCAGCATGGTTTCCGTAAAGTGCACAGTACAACAACAGCACTTAACGCCATAAACACTCAGATAACTCGTGGCCTTAACCGCAACCGTCCCTGTGAGAGGACGATTCTAGTAGCGTTGGACTTGTCAAAGGCGTTTGACACCGTCTGCCATTCCACGCTGCTAGAAGATATAGAGGCCTCCTCTCTCCCATAGAGGCTCAAACGGTGGTCGGCAAATTATCTGAGTGGTCGACATTCGTCGGTAACATTTAGAGACAAAACGAGTAAGCAGCGAAAAATAAAACAGGGGGTTCCTCAGGGTGGTGTCCTTTCCCCGCTACTGTTTAACTTTTACATTTCAAAGCTCCCTCAACCACCAGAGGGAGTCTCGATTGTCTCCTATGCCGACGACTGCTCGATCATGGCGACTGGGAATGGAATTGATGACCTGTGTTCGAAAGCAAACGGCTATCTCTCCGAACTTTCTCGCTTCTTCACTGCAAAGTGTCTAGCCCTCTCCCCTACGAAATCCTCCGCGACCCTGTTCACAACCTGGACGAAGGAGGTCAGGCTACCGCTGGGGATTCACGTCGATGACACACCAATTCCGACGGTGAATAAC